TAGCTTTGGTTGATGCCATTAGTTGAGGGGTTCACAGACTTTTTCCAGCTTACAATGTGATAGTTTGAATGATGTTTTCAATATGGACAAGAACAATACAATGATCTGTGTGTTATTAGCTAAAACGGATTGGGTTTGTTCATAATTGTAACTTGGATGAAGATCTGACCATATTTAAGGACAAGTTTATACATAAATGGAGGTAATTCCACAGGGTTCACTTACTTTTTCTTGCCACTGTAAATAATTCCTCTGTGCCATAGAGTTAAAAACACATCAGCACCACGTGTATTAATCCATCACTGAAAATAATCCTCAACAGATTCACTATCTCCTCTCCCAGTAAGATCCACTTCAGTTCACTTTTATTTGATCCAATTCATGACATCATTACCTCAAGGCACTTTACAGAGTCAGGCTCACAGTGTTACAGAGAGAAACCAACACATCCACAATGAGCAGAGAGGAACCATCAGAGTATACGCTCTGTCAGACTCTGTGTTGTATTAAGACATGGGGCACTGTGCCTAGACCTTGACACAAGTAAAGCAGAGACCTGAACCTGAGGACTCTTGTCAGCTGATTCTGTGGAGTACGTTCCCAAACAAGTTACAGTGAAATTAGCACAAAGACGCTGACACTTCAGGAGGGCAGTAGCTCCTGTAAGTGGTCTGGTCATCTAACCTCGTCTTACGGACATGTGGGCATGTCCTTCCAAGCAAGTGAGACCCAGCTTGTGTCCGAAATCACTCACTACTCCCTCTATAGTCCACTATATAGTGGCTCTGCCATTTTTGAAGGGCTGTCCGAATGTATAGTGAAAATTATGATATTTATGTAGTGGACTCATAGTATCCCACAATGCACCAAAGGTAGTAGAAAAGTAATGTACAACGATGGTAACTAACCAAGCAATAAATACCATCATGCATTGCGCTCACGCTGAAAGACAAAGAAAAATGACAGTCGTGTGCGGAAGTGTTTTTTCATTCACTGTGTAGTCCTCCACATACAACTCCCTGGATAGAGAGCAGGGAGGAGTGAATGAGAGTGAGAGTGATTTCAGACACAACCACAGATTCTTGTATTATTCCAAACAAAGCAGAGACTTTCTGTTTGTCAGTAGACTTTTCCCTTCACAGAGCTGACACCTATCATCCAGATGTGGAGCAGGATGAGAATCTGCCAGATTATTGTGTTTATATTTCTGTTGTGTGACTGGACACGGAGTTAGTGTCGCAACCTGAAGGTCATAGATTAAACTGTTGAAAAGCCAAGAAGTGCGCGTCAACAATCATCTCCATCCCCTGTGGTCATAGTCAGCAATAATCAATCTCAGTTCCTTCTTTACTTCCACACGAGTTACCAAGTGCTAACTGTCTGAATGCTAACAGGTGTGATGGAGAACACTGTGCTGAGAAAGAGGAAAGTGACTGGACTGTGTCTGCTGAGTTTTTTCCATGTATTTACCTTAAAACACCAAATAAAACAAAAAGTCTTAACCACATCTGTATTTACTGTGATCATTGACACACAGGGATTTTATCACCAGCCAGTTAATTAGACTAATGAATGTATATGATTAATAATAGCTTCAGATGATCTGTAGAATTCAGCGTCATTGTCAGCAGCTAACACACACACTGTGATCACGTATTATTGTCAATCCATTTCAGTAGTGTGAGTTTATCTGAAAAGTACGGTGGCCCTGAGAGCTCAACACACTGCAGGTTAAGGAAACACCATATGCAAACAGACAAAACACAAAGAATTACAGAAAACATCTTCATCAATTTGACTAACACGTGCCGCAAATACTCACAACACCACCATATACAAAAACACACTGCAGCTAGCACAGGCGACAACACAAGTGAATGTGTTTAGAATTGAACTCTCGCTGAACCCCTCCCCCAAAGACTGACTCGTTACTATGTTTTCAGCCTTTCCAGAGGAGAGTGTGAGAGCTGGATTAAACTGCTAACCTCAACATGTCAGGCTGTTTAGCAAAACCTATACACACAGTTATGTGTATATGTTGTTGTAAAAGTTAACATCAGTCCTTTGACACGCATCAGATAATGTTTAATGAAAACATCTAGCTTAATGGGTTCAGGTGTAAGGGGGAAACATCAACATGGAATACCTGTAAGAGCAACACTTATACAGAGATCACTGTTTTTATTGATTTCTGTTGCTGAGACTACTGTCGAAAAAACAGGGCCACAATCCTTCATTTCAGGCAGGAGGGTTGTATAGAAGAGAAATCTACCAGAGAAAAACGCCCATTACTTCTTTTACAACAAAGTCCTGAACTGAAACAGCTTCTTGTCTACTGCAGCTGGCCTCATTAACAAGAGACCCCGCTGTTACAATTCTTTTCTAACTCATCAGTCACAATAGTATAGAAGAGGATTAGAGCCACGTGGGAAAAAAAGTTTTTATTTTAGAATTCTGACTTTAAACTCTATTAGTTAACCACTGTCTGCATTTCACATCCTTCATTTCTGTAGCCTTTTCTTTGTTTTTACAAACGTCGGACACCAAACCAACACATTTTTTCGTTTTCACTCACCTTCTTCTTCCATGAACAAAGTTGCTCCCTGTGGGACCCCTCGAGCACGCAAAAAACTTGCTAACATGCAACGTTTCAGTCAGAATTCAGACTTTAACCTCACAATTCTGGGTTTAAAGTCTAAATTCTGACAGGTAGACAAACCCAACTGCCTTGCGGCTGTGGCTATGGCCCCTGGGAAGTCCGTCTCTCATCAGTTAGACGGGGCTGTCCGTGAGACGTTGAACAATGCCAGGGGCCCATCTACACGGGGGAATTACTGAGGTAGTGAATCTTTTCAGACTGGAATTTCAGTCTGGATGTTGATCCTGTAGTTTGTCCTGTGCCACTTGTCCTTCACTTTCAGCAGTCTCAGTTGGACCAAAGCAAGGCAGCCAGTACAGTTAGGGTTTATACTCATGCCATTTCAGCATTTCATGGGGGGATCAATGGCCTGCTATTGGGTCGGCATCCCTTAGTGTGTCAATTTCTGAAGGGAGCTCAGCGCTTGTGTCCAGGCTGTAACATGCGAGCACCAAGCTGGGACTTGCCTCCAAGTGTCTCATGAGGGCTCCATATGAGCCTATTGAGGATGCAGACTTGAAGGCTCTGTCTCTCTCAACACAGCTTTTCTTTTGGCTCTCTTGAGTTGCTCACCCTGTGTCCAATCAGGGCTTTGCGTGTTAATGTGACTCATACTCAGCCTCTGAGAAAGTCTCACTCTCTGCTTTTTGCCTGCTATGGAAAGGCGACACAAGGTTTGCCGCTTTCTAGCAGCGTTTGTCACATTGGTTGCTTGATGTCATTTCGCATGCTTATGCAGAACTGGGCTTTCCAGTTCCCGCAGGTTTGAAAGCCCACTCAGCCAGAAGTATATAGTATATACTTCTTGGGCTGCACTGAAGAGAGTTCCTTTGGGGGACATCTGTGCTGCAGCATCATGGGCTGCACCATGCACATTTGTGAGATTTTACAGGGTTGATGTGACCTGTCCAGCACCAGTAAGCACTGCTGTTTTGATGTCAGTTGTCCAGTGGGGTTCAGAGAATTAGGTTAGCTTCTGTTCCTCGCAACTTTTTTGGGATGAGTCATTCTATTTAGACCGTAGCAACGGTCGGAGTGAGGTCGAAACAGATCGTAAGTTATGAATGTAACTATGGATCTGTGCGATCGAAGGACGGCCGTCACTATCCTTGTCGCTCTGAACATTATGAGGTGTTATAGTCATTCATATTGGACACAAGAAAGAGAAAGTCAGTCATCAAGCATTAAAAACAATTGTGAAAGAAGTGTGTTGACAATTTACACAAGTGAAACGCACCCTGCAATACATGGGCATCCTGAGGATGGGGCTCTGAAATTACCAATAACATCTGAGTCATTTAACGGTGCGGTAAATCATTTCACCAGCACCAGGTGCCAAGTATACACCATTAAACAGAGCTAGGGATTTATCTCAAAATAACAGATTTTGATGTTATGGAATAATATGAAACCTGAAACGCTTCTGCTGAAAGTCTAATAGTAACTGTGATTACTCTTCTTCTTCCTTTCTATTGAAATATTTTTGCAGTATTTCCTCTCTTAACTTGGTGTGTTTTGGGTGAATTTCATGTATTCACGACTTCATCAAGTTCTTCCTGCATTGAGAGAACAGTAAATACAAATGTGAATATAAGTCTTGTGCAATGTAACTGCTGCCTGTCTTAAATCGAGGCCTAGGTTTCTGCCAAGTCATTGTATGCCCTCACTTGCTTGTTTTTATATCTATGTTTTTATATCTCTATGTTCTGTAATCAGGGCGTCCTTGTAAAAGAGGGCTTGCTCTCAATAGCCCTCCATGTTTAAATAAAGGTTATATGAGTCAATAGTGAACACACACAGCACACGTTCTTGTTAACGTCAACGATAATCAATGTAAAACTAAGCAGCCCTATACAATAGCACTTCCAGTGACAGCCTAATAATTTACAGTCAGTGCACTGTGATTCTGCATTTCCAATACAACCTACAGCAACTTCTGGGTCTTTTCCAAGAAGTGCATCCTCCAGTAGGAGCACCAACCTGTATCAGACTGTCTTCACGAGGGGGTTACTTTGAAATGTTGTTCAGATGTATAGTTAAGTAAATTGCATTATGATCTGATACATCTGCTGCTCCTACTGACCACTCCTTCACCCTCTGTCAATCTGAAGTGTTCATCCTGGAGTGCAGCCAATGAGTCGCTGAGTAATGAGTAGTCCTTCTCTAATGCATGGAGATTCCTCCAGACATCAAACATGTCTGCCTCTTTGACTAAGACATTAAGATCTTTTTACATGTGATTTATTTTGTCTTTAGCTTGCTGTATCTACAGAGTATTTCAAAATTGTGCTCCAATCTGCAGCACAAACTAATATTATACTAATATAATAATATATTGCTTTAAACAATATATAAACGTCCTCAACATTTTCTGTCCACACTCATTTTTATTCATAATAACATTATTTAAAGCAGCGAAACAGAATGTACATTTTAAAATCATTACAGCCGTTATCTTAATAATTCATGTTATCAGTAATAGATGAGAAAGAACCATACAGTAAAATATTTTAAAAACACAAACAGGTGTGAGACATACTGTCACGGTTTGTGATCCAGTAAATCAAGCAATATGTTCAACATCAATTCTCTCTCGCATCAGCCTGCCAAGTTTATGCAGTTAGCTTGAGCACTAATGTTCCTATAATACAAAAATAATGACTATACTGTCACCTCATGATCCCTGCGTCAGTTTGTTTTAGATTCAACAAACTCATAACTAGTGTTTTCAGAGATTCAAAACCTCTCATCAACAGTTTTTCATTACAGTATGTCATTACAGTCATGGCTCAGAGCCAGTTGCAAGATTCAAAGACTTAATCCAAGTCTGCAAGGTGCACAGTGTAGAATACTTTTAACGGTCAGCTTGGCATGAGAGATTGACGTGAGGGTCACTGAAGTTGACAATCGTTTTATAAAATAATTCAACTTCCCTCATGGAACAGTGAAACTGTCCACTGCAGCAGAACACAGCTAAGAGCTTTTGAAGGCTTTTCACTGAGTCTTGACTGGTAAAGGCACAGTTAAGGTTTCCTGGGAGAAGTCACTTAAATTAAGCACAGTGATGATCAGAGTGTGACTCCAATCCCACTGCAGAACTGCAGTTAGTGAGACTTTTTTCATTCCTTGCAATCATGACTTGCAAGACACAGAGTACAAGCTCAGCTCTGCATTTAATACTGATCATGCTTAGAGAACATATGGTTGAGAGCTTAGGTTTGACAACAAATAATAATACAGAGCCCAACAAAGGTAACAGACTTGTCATAACAGTATGGATTTCAAGAGGAGGCAAGCTTTTCTTTCTGGCACAGAGAATATGGAAGTAAAGAAAATCTTACAAACAAATGGACCTATTTGTGCAGTCACTACTGAATACTTGCTGTTGTAGGGTTAGGGTTAGTTGTAGTTGTATTTCTTTTAAAACGGATATGAATGGAAAAATATTTTGCACAGAGAACACCCCTCCCACAAAGACACAGAGCCATTTTTACAGTTAATACCACATAACAATCAATACTGAGTTTAAAATCAGAGCATAATACCTTTAAAAAGTCACACACATGTTCAATTAATTTTGATGCTACCTCCATGCATACCCTCTAACAATGTTTAATCAAATGATCACAAACCAACACAGGTGATATTCTTGCAATAGTATTATTCTATTGTAGAAATGCTGGCTGTTTTGTGGGTTGTGGGAGCATGTTTGGAGACTCAGACCACGCTACAGTGAGCTCCTCCTCACCTGAACAGGTTAATACGGCCCTGCGTCATCTATAAGATCGCTTTGAGTGATCTGGTCCAAATGTACTTTAATGTGCTCTTTCACTCCAGCAGTGACATGGTATGATGACACTGCTGTGTTGGTGTGTTTTGTTCAGTCAAATGAACTTCATCAGTTTGCAGGACGTCAGCACCCGGGGACAGAAAAAGGCTAAGCTATACTGAGTCAGGCAGTAGCTTGGTGAAGTGGAGTCTGGACAGCAGACTTCCTCCTTCACTGCTGTGGACCATCTTGGGAGATGGAGTCCTGAGTAGCTTGTGCAGTTCCTGTAGCGGAGTCTTGAGACAGCAGCTTCTCCGGCGGACGCAGAAACACCAGCATCACTGTTATGTTATCACTAGAACCAGCTGCCTTAGCATGACTCACCAGCTGTTGAGCGACTCTCAGTCCAATTTTCTCCTCAGACTGTTTCAGTGGAGTGTCTCCTCCTTCTTCGGGCTCACCAGGCTGCTGGAGTGCATCCAAGACCAGATGTGGGACCATTGTAGGCTTGACTGCATCAAAGAAGCCGTCACACGCCAGTAAAACATAGTCCTCGTCTCCAGTCAGCTGGGTTGTTGAGCAGTCGGCATCTCCAGACACGTAGGGCTTCTGGTCAAAGTCACCTGGAGACGTGACGTATGGTTAACAGCTGCAGCTAAATACAGCACTTCCTCATCAGGTTGACTGTCCAGGTCTAAATCACTACATCAGGTCAAATGTTGGTAATGACAGTTATATTAACAACAGACATGTGACCACACCTGACCTAGTTTCAGGGGGAATCATCTTGTGGTTTTCTCAGCTGAAGTGATATTATGTGGATAACATGTTATTCTACATTACATTCAGTTAACAGCTGTATTGTCAGTGGTGTTTTTGGGTTAGTGTTAGTGTCTAATAAATATCACTTGTTTGTTGAACTACAGATGTCTGATGACAACAAGCTACACATTCAGCTGTGTGACTTCTCATATTTCTCAGTCATCCTTAGGTTGCCATCCATCCATCCATCCATCCATCCATCCATCCATCCATCCATCCATCCATCCATCCATCCATCCGGGAAAATTAATTTGCCCAATCGGCCTTGTCCTTCTGAGCATCACATTACTGGACACTTCCATCTGATTTCAGAGACTTTATAACAAATGGTATTTTTGCTAGAAAGTTCAAAAATCTGGTTACTGGAGAAACAAGTGTCAAAATGGCATTAATATATTTGCATCTGCTCTGTCCATAAATGTCTGAGTCAAATGTGCGATGTGTGATGTGTAATGTATGAGCTGTAGTATGTGTTGCAGCTGTAAGCTAGCTGTTAGCATTGTTAGCTCTTTGTGTGCTGTGAAGTCACAAGTTGAGGCATGATTATTCATTTACAGCAGAATCTGTACAGTAAAGCTGTCTCACACTGCAAACATGGATATACTTGTATTTAGAGGACTTTATTATCATAGACATATTTTCATATTACCAATGTTTGCTAGTGTGGCTTGTTGTGTTAGTTATGGTACTGCAACATGAGTGGATATTTGCTGTTTCGTTCAGTGCCACAGATGGGGGCTGCTGTGCCTGTAACTGATGCGAGTCAAACAGAGTTTTCTACCAATGATACGAGAGCGGCACCAGCTCAGAACAATCCCAGACACCATCACTCAGAGTGCTATGATCCACATTGTTAAACAGCAGTAAGATAGAAAAAAAAAAAGAAGCACTATCAGCACTAACTCTCAGATCATGTCTGGTGGTGAGTGACTTACCTATAGCTCTAGATACAGCATAGGTGCCATTAACACGCCAGCAACCCATGAAAGTGATACAGCCGCCAAGATCCTCAATTCTTTGTTTCTCATCCTGGAAGACAGAAGAGACAGAGCTTACCACCTGATCACCTTCACACCAGTCATTCATATCTGAAGATGTGCCATCATTTATTGTAACTTGCATCAGTGTTGGGAGATTTTAATTCCACATGTGCCAAGTGACTGATTTCTACAGCTGCAACTGTTTCATTATTGATTCATTGATTAATCATGAGTCATGATCACAGTCCCCCTGCTACAAAGCCGGCAGGCTGTCTGCGTGAGTGTGTGATATCCTTACTTCTCTCTCTGGTTTATGGGGGTCCATGAGTGTCACAGCTTGTCCCTTTCTGACCAGCACTGCTTGAGAGTCTCCAAGCCAGGCCACAGTCAGCTCTTGACCCTGGATCAGCACGGCCACACCTGTAGTGCCACTCCGCAGACGCTGACAACAGACAGTTATTCATCAGCCTGACTTTCTCTGCAGCAATGCACACACACTGCTTACACGTCTTTATATTAAAAGAGAAAGAAACTTAGGATTGGTAATGACTGGATCAGGGGAATTATGAAAATATGGTCAGCCGTAAGGAAGAAATTTAAATAGTCAAATTCATGCAAACATCAGTAGGGCCACTAAAATAGAATGACACTGAAATAGCTATGAACCCAGAGTTTGTTCCATCTAGGATGGACGCAGGATTAAACAACTGGCTAATGTATATCGCACAGGTGTTTAATGGGCAAATCATGAAATCATTTGAACAACTTAAACAGGAATTCAATCTTCCAGCTCATGTCAATGTCAATGTAATTATTCCAGTGGCAAACACAACAGTGTGTGTAACTGTTCATGTGTGTGTTGGCTGAATCCAGTGCTGCTTCAGTACCTCTCGCTTGGCTTTGTCTCTGAACATGTCGTCTGTGCGTTTGTAGGCAGTTTTAAAGGCTGCGGCTGCGTCACTCTGCAGCATTTCCTCTTTACTCAGAGCAACGTGGAGGTGAGTGGCAGCGTAGGTGGCAGCGTCCACTCCTCCATGTCCGTCAAACACAGCATAGTAGGCACGCTCCACTCCATCCTGGACCATGGGAGAGAGAGAGAGGGAAAAAGACTTAAATATGTGTTTGATATATTGTATTAATTATACTGGTTATTTCTGGTTTTCTGATCTTTTTAAACAAAAAACAAGACACGAAATCCAGTGACAAACAACAGAAGTCTTGTACCTGGATTCCGAAGAGCTGGTTGAACTCAGCCAGGGCCAAGTGTTTGTCCTCCATCTTCCTCCTCGTGTTCTTGATGGCATGAACAAAGCAGTGGTGTAACTGGGAAGGGGAGGGGGGGGGCTTGAGCCGGTTTTGATGCCATGCCAGCCCTACGTCTATCAGCTTATTGAGGAAGAGACGCTGGACTGCTTCTGACTGAAGTACTGATGGTAGGATAAATAGATAAGACAAATGAACAAGGAATAAATCACAGTCTTTTGGTCCTAACTACTCTTTGCTATTGGTATATACAGTACAACACATGGATTGTAGGACAGTAAGGCTGCCCCCTAACCAAATGCTAGTTAGTGAGAAGAGCCATACTTGACCAATATTTGATTGGTGGGTTGGTCAAACTCAGTCACTCAGTCAGTTTACACAGATGGTGTCTGCAGTTATTAGACAGTAATGTGACTGAGCATCTTAGGTTCACCTACCTCGGCATATTTATAATGAAATAATAAATGGGACCTAGAGAAGTAGTACAATGAACAGCAACAACAAACTCCTGCCTTTCAGAAACTTTTCAGCGACAAACTGCCGCAAATATGGAAACAACGTGTAAAATCATTTGTTGACCTCAAGCAACTACAAACGACTAGTTAACCAATGGCTTGAACTAACAACTACTTTCTTTGGTCAAGGGCTGCCACTGAGGATAGAGAATGAAAATGAAAAAACACAGTATTCATGACAGACTTTTCATAGTTTTAGGTTTATTGTCAATGGAACTAGACGATATTTTTCAACACTGCAGTTCTTCTCAGCTCTATGGAGCTTTTTAGCTGCTAAAGATCCATATATTTTTCTCAGGAGTTCATGGAGACCAAAACTGAATTAAAAGGAGAGTTGATATTGCATTTACATTCATCAGGCAGACACAAACAACCAATTTCAATTTGTATCATTGAGGGAAATATTAGAGACACCCATCAGTATAACACTATAATTTAACAGAACCACAATCACAGCCTCCCCAAAATTAACATAAAGTAAAACACTTACAGACGACTCTCTGTTCTTCTTCCTGGTTGGCCTCAGCCTCCTCTGGGCAGTGGAAAGGTGAAAGGTCATTCTGCAGCAGCTGGGACAGGGCTGCCTGGCACAGGAAGGCACTTACGACTGCAGGAGCACCCCTGAACCAACAAACAAGCAAAAATACATGTTGAGTACTTGGTCAAGGTCTGAGCATGATGAAATTTACTCACCAGATTTTGCAGCAAAGTGAGACACAGCTGTGCGGCCAGAGTTTGCATATCCACAGAAACAAGAAGACGCTACAAACACAAATATGACTGGGCTAAGCAGCTGCACATTTACAGTGCAGCTGGCAAATGTGCATCTAACTGTTTAATCAACTCTGTCATTTCCTTCATAGAATTACAACTCTGTTGCAGAGAAGACTAGGCTCACAGCAAAAGGAAGTGGAAAGAACAATGTTGTCTCTACAGAGAGGGCATGAAGTCTTCCTGACAGGCCATGCTTCTGAAGAACAATGTGAGCAGGAGGAGAGCACACAATATAAATTAAATATTCTATGTCCTACTCTAAGTTTAGCTGAGCTTGAAGGTTCATTCATAGAAACTCTTCATTGCAAAAAAGAAAACAATCTAGAATTCCCGCCTCACAGTTGTTTCCTCCACCAATCAGCCAAGTTGCAGGAAATATGGTCACAATCTCCTCTTCCTGAGTTACAGTGTTGAATAATGGCCAGAAGTGTTTACATTACATTACAGAACATTATGATCTCACAGTGAAGCTTACCTTTTGGATATAAAATGTCATCGCTTCATTTTATCCTATTATCCTCATAAACTGTGTTATAATTAGCATACAAATTTGTCAGTTAGGGCCAAAATGTATCATCTGAGGTCACAGTGACCTTTAACCACCAACTTCTAATAAGTTCATCCTTCAGTCCTAGTGAATGTTTGTACAAAATATGAAGAAGTTCCCTAAAGACATCACTTTCACAAGAACATCCTAACTCTGACCTCAGTCACTGCAGGTGTCCATCAACAAGCTCTTTGAAACTGTGAGGACTGGACAAAGTGACCTCACAATGATGGTTTGGGACCTAAATTTGTCTCCACAACCACAGCAAGACATGTCTACACACATGTACATGCCCCAACAGAAGCTGATCTGCAATAAAGCTGCTGTGATTTCTCCTGCTAGAACAGAACAATGTGGACAACAGTAAATAATGCCCTGACTTAATCAGTCTTATTAGCCAATCACAGTCAGTTGTATGTACGTTATGTGTGTGTCGATGTGCGTGTGTGTATTGTTGTGTGTGTCAGTAGAGCTGTCTACCATGGAGCCTCCAAAAAGCTTGCATCACCAGGTTGAGACACTTACATAGTTAATATCCATAAGGTGGAGATAGTGTTTGTGTGTCTGTCAATGTATGTGTGTGCGTGGTGTTAGAAGGTACAACAAATAATGTTGCCATGGTGATCCTATGCTTAATTCCTAATGAGTAAGACCTGGACTCAGCTGAGACACACTTCGCGACCTCCGGCTAGCCAATCAAAGACTATTAAATCCTATCAGCTAAAGCTTTGTGTTTTCTGAGAAAGGAGACTCTGCTGAAAGCAGTGACATAAAGTACTCGTCTGTGGTGTCAAAAGTAGCTCCAAAGTAATCCACCAAGTAGAATATATGTAATGTGGAGTCAGTCAGAATAACAAACTGAAATTAATCGCTGAATGTTTCCTTAATAAAAGTGTGTGTCTATCTGCCTGCCTGTCTGTGTGTCTACCTGTCTGTGTGTTTGTGTGTCAGTTAGAATGCAAACTGAAATTAATTGCTGAATACTTCCTGATTAAAACTGGACTGAAACATATTTCCAGTAAAAACAGCTGAAATGTGTGTAAACCATTGTCTGTATTTAGTGTTGGAGCGGTTTGTAGCTAAACACCACAGATATAAGAGGAGCCTCTAATCAGGTAATTTGATCCAGCTGTGCGCCCCCTCCCTCCACTCAGAGGTTGCCTTGGTGATTTTAACTGCTTAGGTTTTACTGAGTGGGACAGAGATTCAGTTGGAATATCCCTTTCGAACTCAGCCAGTAAAATATCCTAACTGTTATGACATTCATGACATGAACGTATAGATTTTCTGAAAGAGGAGACTTTGCTGAACGCAGGGATATAAAATGTTTGTCTGTGGTGCCAAATATGTGACCTGTACAGAGATTTTAAAAATGCCTTGTGTGAATGGGGCAGTTAGATAGCAATTCTGTGAGTCTCTGTGCTTTGTTAGTCACATTGTCTGAAGATGACAAATTTGTCTAGGTTGCCGGAAATAATGATGTGCATAGAGTGAAATTTGTGTCCTGGAGGACGAGTTTAAGTGGATTTTTTTGAGCAGTTTAATCCCTTCTCCCACTCTAGCAGTGATGTCAGTCTCTCTAGCCCTGAAAATTCCACGCAATACACACCCATTATAAACTCAAAAATGATCAGAAAAAAGCATGAAACTAAAACTGTGATAAATCAAAAACTGTTCAAGATATCAAAAAGTTGAAGACAAGTCTATTAGTTGAAAGTCTTGTGAACATTTTAAAAGTTTGAATGAAGTCTGTAGCTGAAAGTACGCTCAATGATACCCAAATGATACACCCAATCACACACTGTTCCACCCTAAATCTACCTAATCTAGACTGGTACCGGTCGATGTTTCGTTTGTTGACTCAATCTAAGAGGTGAAGTGGTGTAAAAATTGAGAAAATTTGTTCTATTTAAAATGAATCAAGTATAATCAGATTATCTATTCATCATCGTCTTAAAAGAAAACAAAAACAAAAAAAAACAGTAACTCCGGAAATGCAAATGATGTAATACTTTTGGAAGAGGATATGACGAGTGTTGCTGCTTCACTTTTATACATTGTGTTTGTCCACCCTGCCACATGCTTACTGAATGAGCAGGGCAAGAGCAGAGCTGTCAGGAATGTCAGGAATGTGAGGAATGTAGCCACACGCAAAAAGCACCAAGTACTCTCCAGCTTTGTGTGTGTGATATATTAATACTAAGATAGTGATATTATGGAACTGAAAATTCTATGATGAGAAACTTTACTAAGTGTGCAGCCATTTAGCCTGTGATTTAAAAACTGCACTGTAATGAACTGTAAAGGGACAGCAAAGACTAATTAAAGACACAAGTTTTCTAATAAATATAGCTCTTCTCTACATTCAAAAGCCCTTTCCAGATGTGGAATACTGGCTCTTATACTACTCTGTCTGTTAAAGTCATTCAGATGTACATTATGTGCCTGTTGTATAAATTTTACTCCTTTATTCAGACACAATGGGAGATGGTTTCATAAGGACAGTGTCATTGCTGGAAAATAATTGTCAGTTCTTTCAGAAGCTGCAGCACTGATGGATTTAAAACTCAATTTTCAGTTGAAGAATTAATAACATGAGAATTAAGGGCCCCTCTTTTCACATTGAATCCCATTACACATTTTCTCATCAATTTCTCAAGGATTCTGCTGCCTGTTTCATAATGCCCAATAGAGCACAAGGAGAGAGTGACAAGACGATAAGTTTAATTCCTATTTGTTCATTTCGTGTTTGACAGGCGACTCATATTTTCCTCCATACAGGTGTCAAGGATGAAACCTAAAATATTAGAAGGGAGACTGCTAGTCTATTGATTATTTTAATTCTGTGAGTTTCTTCTATTTGTCTTGAGCTCTTCATTTTTATAGGCTGACCTTCCTAACAATCTCTACATGCAGTAAGTCAGTGATCAGATTTTTTTTAAATACAAGTATGTATTGCTCCATGTACTAACCTGTCCTTTCATCTATGATTCAGCTGTTGGGTTCTTTTACTATACACATATGTACTTGTAAAAAGCCGATTAGAAACACAACTACCTGAATCAATAGCAGAAAAATCAGCGCATTCAAGGAGACATCTACTAATGTAGCTTAATGCAGAGAACTAACATGTCATAATGAAAAAGGCAATATGAAATTTTGATAGATTATAACATTATAATATATGCAACATTTCAAAATTCGTAAGTAAAGTTAACGTAATATTATAATCTTAATATTACATATTAATTACTTAATCAGGTGGAACAAGAGCATTTAGAGTCTTGCTGTGTGTGTATTGAATCTTGTGCTGCTGCCGCTCTTCTCCATCCTGCAGATCTACAAAAGGTGTACTTCTCGCTCTCAGTCTCACCTGGCAGCCAGCAGCCTCAGGCCCAGCTCCAGGCTCTCTCCATGCAGCTCCTCCAGGGAGACTCTGCGACTTAGAGGGCTGACAGGCAGCGGACTGCCTTCCTCCAGAGCAGCCGGGAACTCCTCCACAAATCTCTGCAGGAAACACCTGGCCTCCTCCTCCATCCCACTGGCTGTGGCTGCAGTAAACTCTCAGGTGAACAGGGGTCAGGTCTAAAAGGTCACAAGTGGAGACTTGAAGGGCAGAGAAAGTAGGCTTCAACTTCAACACTCTGACAGTGTGATGAAAAATGAATGTAGTATAAAATTTACTGATGGACACTGAATTCTCAGCTGGTAATACCTTTCTGAGACACACTCTCAAATCAATCAATATTCTAAGATTATTATTATTATAATGCCTACCCTTTAATGTAATCCTGACCCTGGAACTCTCAAGGCTGGGTATCAAACTTCTAGCATTTTTTGGTGGCAAAAGGTTTTCGTAGCACAGAGTACTGAAAACTAGTGATACCATGCAAAATGCCGAGGCTTTGAAGTGTGTGTGTGGAGTGTAGCTGAGCTTTTCCAGTGAAGCGTGCATCATTTCATACGTATGATGTAACTGATGACATGTGAAGCCTCGCTTCCCGTATGTATGACTGCTGACGGTGTATACGTATAGATATACGGTATATACAACCTCAGAGATAAGTGATTAAGTTTATAGTTTTTGGTTTATAACACTGTTGGACTTTGACTGTCTGCTTAGAATAAAAAATGTTTGTTGAGCAGCGTGTTTGTGTAACTTGAAAAAACATAACAAGAGTTTTGCTAATTCTGACAGAAACTGTAGCCGTTTAGCTCCATTCAAATAAGTGTATAATAAGTATGAATATGTAGAAGTGTGCCACACTATTTTCATGTGCCATGATTGTAGACAGTCACCAAATGCATGCTGTAATCCACATTACTCAGCTTTCAATTATAACACTGATGGACTTTGACTGGTTGTATTTTCAATGGATCCACCAAGGAAAACTGAGGCATCTCCAGTTTGACAACACTTTGATCTTATTTCTCCCAATAAAGTATGAGCATAGTAGTGTAACATTAATATAGATGCTTTAAGTTAATTGAACTATATTTTTTCAAGGACATATGTTGATTGCATTTACAGTAAATGTCTGCTTAGAATAAAAAAATACAATCATAGTTTCCATTAAACTGATACTCTGTAACATACAAATGTTTGTATATGTCTGTTTTACATTCTGGCCAGTAGATGTTGCTCTGTTAACAAGAAGCATCAAGAAATGAACCTTTTCTGAACCACTTTGGTGGAACAGTTCAGTCCTTCATGACGCATGAGTCTGTGATCATACTGGCAGTCTTGTTCATCATTCCCTGAGTTGATCATGATTCAAAATCTTTTGTTAGTTGCAGTTAGAATAATCATATTTTAGTGGAACTGCTCATGTCAAACCACATGTAAAAGTTAAAGTTTGACATTTTGGAAATATGCTCAGTTTTTGTTATGTTGTTACATTATCATTGTACCTGTATTGTTAAATTCTGTCATAACAGCACCCTAAGAAATACAACTGAAAGGGGGTTTGAAGGAGTTGGTCAAAATTTTGCTCAGTATATCTTACATTTCAGGGTTAAAATGGGCTTCCTTAAATAACACACCAAGAGTTATAGTTATGATAAGCATTCAGAGAAAAAAATGTCATGGACACGTTTTAAAGACCGAAACACAAAACATTCATATTTTAAACTATTCATTTTTCTTTCTGTTTCATATCAGCAATTTAATTTTTATCATCATTAAATTTTAGGGTTAGGGTTAGGGTTAGGTTTCCGTATTCTGTTATTTTTCAATGTCGTCACTGGCACAATGGCAGCAGTATCGCCATCCTCCATGAAATAAAAACAAAAGGGTTTTGTGACTGGTGCCTGCTGTGTGCAGAACTTTACCAGCAGAGGGTTCACCACGGCACGGCGAAAACAAAGCATCCGGCCGGATGTCGCTCACTGGGAGTTGCCTTGTCTTCTTCAAGGATACAGTGTTACTGTTTGTTGGGCAGCGTGTTTGTGTAACTTGAAAAAACAATTAACATAAAGACATAAGAAGAGTTTAGCTAATTCTGACAGAAACTGTAGCCGTGTAGCTCCATTCAAATAAGCGTATAATAAGTATGAATATGTAGAAGTCTGCCACATTATTTTCATGTGCCGTGATTGTAGACAGTCACCAAATCCACATTATTCAGCTTTCAGTTTTGTGTTGTTTTGTATTTTGTTTTCCCAAATATGTAAAAAAAAAGTCGCACATTTTTACTGATATTGTTTTTAAAGGCACTTAAAGGCTCACGTTATCTTCTGTGATTTCCACAGCTGCATTCCCGCGGTTGAAAAATTAACATTACACCGAAACACAGACTGTCAACTATATAAAACCAGAGTCACTGCTGGTCGGATTTGTTTAAAATATAATATTCCCGATGAGCAGAAGGCCGTGTCTTCGTCTTACCTGGGGCTAGCCAATTTTACAACAGTCCTTAGCATGGTCCGGCTACATGAGCTACAAACAGACAGTTGAAACACGGAGAGCCCAAGATAATAAAGATGATTAATTAATAAACATATACACACACAAACCTGCACTGGTAGACCTGATGGTAAAAAGACTGACGGTTATAAATCCACAATGTACACCAATAGTGTTGAGAGATCTGGGGTGTACGCAACACCCTATTGGACCACTTTCCTGTACGTCATCACACTTTCGTCTTCCTTCCGCTGTAGATTTAAAGGGCAATACAACACCAATATTCTCATTCGGAATCATTTCAAACACATCAAATAGAAATTGAAAATTAAGACAGAAGATGGTAGATTATATTATTTTATGTCATTAAAAAATCTTACAAGAAAAAAAATGAATAAGCTGTAACTGAAAATAGTTAAATTAATGATCAATCTGACAATTATTTTCCTGATTAATCTATTTGTCATGGAAATATCAGAAAATTGTGTGAAAACTACCTTTTATTTAGACATCACCCCAAAAGCCCAAAATATACAGTCTAAAGTCGTCATTCATCAAGTCATCATATATGACAATCTGGAACCAGTGAATGTGAACCATTGTTCCTTTAGAAATGACTAAAACGATTAATCTACTATCATAATAGTTGGTGGTAATTTTTTTGTTGATCAACTACTCAATTAATTGACTTATACAGCTTTTGACAAAAAATACTAATTATATTGAAAAATTGCTATTTGAATATGGAAAGTGACAATTAAAATCCTAATATGGATGAGCATCAGCAGAAAGAATCAAATTAAAAGCTGAAATAGGAAAGCATAAACTAAAATTGGTCCTGAAAATGGAAAATGAAACTTACTTTGGTCTATATGTGTCTAGCAACTTTTACAATTCAAACAATATTAAGGAATTCGTTAAGGAACTTAACATTCCTAAAATTTACCCACAGATCAACCCCGTTTGTTCCAGCCTGGAGGAGTTCTGCAACTGTTGAAATCTCCACGAAAGCTTCTAGTGTCCAGTTTGGGGAATGTTCCAGAGGGATGGAGGTAATAGGACCATCATTGCTTTTAATGGTTTATTGCACAGCACTTTATACACACCTCAACATTTCTTACTGGGTTAGAGATGTTATCTCAAATCTGAAACTTGAAAACATCTTACATACATGATGTGGCTCAGAGCATGATGTTCCTTTCCAACATTTTTTGATAAATCCTCCATACAGGAACAGGAGTACATTTTACCTTTTTATTTGTCATTTTTTATTTAGTTCATTTATCTTTTTTTGTATGCAGAGTACTGTTCTGTGTGTGGGCATGTGCTTCCTGTCTTAAGAAGATTTGCTTTGTTCTCGTTTCCTGTGTACTGGATGTGGACTTAAATTTGTATCCAGACTTTTGTGTATGAACTGTAGTGCAGACTGATGCGTGATGCAAGGTGACACTAACACTAACTTTGTGATAGCATGGGGTGGTGCAGCAGGAGGTGGGAATATTGGGGGTGTAACATTCTGTTTGGTATGAGGTGGCAGTCTGTTAATCTTTTAGAAATCACTAAAAAGGACAATGAAAGTCATTTTAGAATTTAGACTGAAATCACAGGTGTGACAATGGAGAGATGATGTGAACACGCTTTTACAACTGAACTCATTTTTATGATGGTGAATAAACACTCTCACAGCAACCTTTTTTTTTTTAAATACATGTTTTACTTCAATGTAATTAAACATGTAAAAACATCTTCATATTCTGTCAAGCAAATAACAGGACGCACTATATACAGACACTATACGAAGTATGCTGCCAGGGCAGCCATTTTGTCTTTAGGTTTTTTAGGATTGCCACGGCGTCCCCTGCCTCGTCCCCGTCCTCCTCGTCTTGCACCCCCACCCCGATGCATGAAGTGCCTCATGGTGGCATGTTTAAGCTCCACCAGATCCTGGAAAACCGGATCACAGAAAACACAGCCGGTGTGTTGGGTCTCGCTGGCAGGAAGTGGAGTGCGTGTCTTGTTGAAGTCAACTGCGACCAGAGAGGCGTCGCAGGCATCGCAGGTCTCCTGAGCAACCTACGGGAAGAGAGTAGAACCTCAGAGGCAGCATATAGGATCAAGAGAAGTGTAAGAATTGAGAAGACATCATAAATACAGGGATGGGGGACTCATGACCTTAGTTAAACCCCCCTAACCCTAACCACAATCCAAACCATGTAGAAAGAGTTGGACTGAGGACACTTCCAAACCCTTTCACTAAATTTGTGTTCATCAGCTGTTTACTCCAACTGACCTGGTGAGACTTCAAGAGTGGGGGGTGTGGGGTGCGGGGGGTGCTCAGGAATCTATCCCTGCAGAACTATGATCAGTCAAAGTCATAGCTTCTCAATTTGAGATGTTTCCAAAATTCTCAAGATTGAAGATAGAAGATCACCTTTTGTCACCTTACATTTCTGACACATGGGAGAAATGTCTGTAGAGGGTGTAACAAGTTTACGGAAGTATATCAAATTGAATTTGCCTATGTTTTGAGTAAAGTGATACAACCTGTGCCAAAAGACAAAACCACCCTTCCTCTCCATAGACACAGCCTACATCTCATTTCCATTTTCCTTTTGTGGATGTCTTATTGTAGCCAAGTCATTTGCCATAGATGTTAGTCCACTGGTTGTTGTACATAACCTATTATATAGGAACATTTCAAGAGGGATTTCTTTAGGGATATCTGGGAAAATGTCCTGAGCTTTTTCTTTAACCCACTATCTGATTTGTAGAAAGTTGAAAAAACATGTGCAGGAATTTTTCAGTTAGTTTTTGGAAGTTGGTAAATGTATTGTTAATGTATAAATTGGCGACTGTATTTTTGCACCATTTCCTCCTGTTTAGGNTAAATGTATTGTTAATGTATAAATTGGCGACTGTATTTTTTTGTCTTCCCACCGTTGACATTTATATCTATATCATCTATATCAGCAGGACATAATATATATTTTCATATCTGTGTTGGTTGAAATGTGTATTCTTCAACACTCATCACATACACCTGCTGCCCCAAACATTCACCAAATGTGAATGTATCTGCCATTGAAAACAATCAGCCAACAAATGCACCATTTCCTCCTGTTTAGCTAATGTTTGATAAAAATTACAATGTTTGCTGTTTTAGAAAATTGCTGAACCATTTGTGTACATCTTCAGAATTAACCAATGGACTCAGGGCTGAGAGCTACAGGCGCAGGTAGAAGTCAGACAATACTGAGAGATGGACTAACGTATTATTGGTTTGTGTCTTTTTTTCTTGGTGTTCATTGATAAGAAGAAAAATGTAGAATAATGCCAGACTTTTTCTTTAAATGTTTTTTTCAGGACAATACAAAGAAACTTGAGTAATTTATTTATTTATTGAGTAAATTTTCACTGGTTGAGAGTGTATTAATCAGAGAAATAAGCTGCTCGTATGTTTGGGTAGAAAAAAACTCTTCAAACATATGGATATTTAGATCACTTGTGTGTTTGCTTTTCTGGACCTGTAAGGCCTGTTTTGACATTGTATGTGACATTATGCCATATAAATATGATTATCATGACAAGATGTGTGACTATTTTCTTACCTGCACTCTGTGTGCATGTTCAAAGAAGTGTACCACCACGTTGCATTTATTACAGGCCATTCTCCATTTTGGTCCAGAGGTGGGATCCAGCACTAACACTCCACCATCACACTCCACACACTGTCCAATGCCCAAAGAGTTGAGAGAGTGCTGACAGGACGGATGAGTACATTCATTGCATCCCATACCTGGGAAAAACAGACATTAAAAGACTGTCAGAGAGGTCAGAGGGCTAAAAAAGACCAAGACTGAGGGCCAGATTTACAAAGAAAATAACATGCAAATGTGAACCTCGGTTTTCATTGAGTTTATGGCTGCAATTTACAATGCGTATTCAGTGCTTAATTACTTAGACAGCATTAACTGCACTCACTGTGCAGTTAACTGATCCTGATATTCAGGTCATGTGACATTTGGCATATATTACACCTGACAACAAGAGATTATACTTTTTTTTTTTCAAACAGACACCAGACATATTCAAGAACTGATTTTTTGCTGACCTCTCAGCCAACTGTTAATAAAACATTAAAGAATCTAATAATATAATAGTTACTGTTGTTCATGACCCTGTTCAAGTTATTTCAATTGTTCTGTTGAGGCAGGTGGAATGTAATTATTGCAAGGTTAACAACTCTTTTATTCTGCTTTGAGAGACACATGCAATGTAAAATAAAGGCCATCTTGGACAATACCAACCACCCTCTCCAAAACAATTCTGGCAGGACAGAGAAGCAGCTGCAGCTGCAGCAAACAGGTTCAGGATATCCTTTGTTCCCTCTGCCATCAGGCTGTAAAACACCTCAGCCAAAGGAAGTGGCTCATGAACTGGAGTAAATGAACTATTATTGTTTATCATGAAGTAATATTATTATTACTAATGAGGTGCTGAACATAAATACATACATAAAGTCTGTCTGTCCGTCTCTGTCTGTCCTGTTGTCTCTCCGTCTGTCTCTCCGCACATATTCAAAGATTCAAAAGAGTAAGTAGCACAACTTTATGTGATCAAACAGGGATCCTATATCCAATTTTCCAATTGTGTGAGAAACGTGTTGTGCTGTCTTAGATGGGAGGTAATTAACATTGGTAGTATACAGAAGAAAAGGTAAGGTAAAGGTCAGATAAGGATATGACATAATTCAAAATAAATTTCAGTAAATAAATAGAACAAAATTAAACTTTTATTGATGTGGTGAAAAGGCCATATGGAGGCACAAAACAGGGCTTGCCAACATCACTACAACTGTAACCTCATTATCTTCTATCAAACTGCTAGCTTTAAAAATAAGATCTGATTGCATTATCAGAAATCAAACATACAAAATATCACTATATCTGACAAAATTATGTAGTAATTTCAAAACTGTTATAGAAGAGAGTAAATATAATTAGAACATCTTTACTTCCTATTGCCAACTGTAT